TTTTTTTATTGTCACAATATTTTTTTAATTAGTTTGGGGTGATGGATACACCCTGTCACCTTCAGGTTTCTTGGGGTATGGCATGAGCGATGCTGCATTATAGTCTACAAAATCTCCATAAAGATTCCTTAACATTGCTGTTTCTGATGGATTTTCAAATATCAAGTATAAATAACCCCGCCAGGGAGCACTCGGGGCTAGTTTATTCTGCATAGGTGTATGTGTATAGGCTTTAATTATTTAGTTTCCCTTCTTCAATTTTCAATGTTTTAAGGTGCTTCAAGATGGGGAACACCTACTACTACTAATCTATACTTGGGGAAGTGAGGGAAATATGCTGCTTTATGGCTATTTTTTCAAAGTCGTTTCCTTTCCAATCCCATCTTACTGAAAATATATACAACTGCAACCTACTCTGATTCCATTTCCCCCTGTATTTATTTACTTTTCTCATTTACAAGCTACCAGAATCCAATAGCTCCTGGTTGTTTAGAACTCTAAAAACATAAAATGCAGATTAAAAACACAATGAAAAATACATTTTTTAAGAAAAAACAATTCAGCTACAACCATCCTTTCCACTGTCAAATATGCATAAGGCAACACCAGCTTTCTAAGGCCCTGCAATATAACTTTACCTTTAACTGAGAGATCTCCTCTTAGTGGCAAAGAAACTGGGAACATTATTTGGTACATACCATCTGCACACAGGACACTGTATATTGAATGTAATTCATATTACAGTCTTTACAGCGCCACACAATACTGTATATATAGTTCTGTATATTATATGAACTTTATCTTATATCATTCTTACAGGTATTAATCTGTTTTTTGACGTATTAACCAGTTTTATCTGAAACTAGCTAGCAGCCCCTTGTTTTACTAACACACTGCATCTTTATACAGTGTATTTTATCTAATAGATTACATGAGCAGCTTGAGTCAAGATAAGAGAGAGTGTAGTTATCAACATGCACAGAGAGAGGATTATATTATTGGTATGAAATGGAATGAAAATGGCTAAATGGAATGAAAATATATTTCATTGGGGTAAATTGATAATATATTTAATTAATAATCATGGCCAGAGTTTCTTTTGAGAATTTTCAGTATAGCAAACCCATATATAATAACTGCAGTTCTCCCTAGATCTTCAGTGTACTGATATGTGAAGATGTAATTCTAAGGGAACAGTCAAGTTTTCCTTTGGTCACAGAAATTGTACTGTAAACATCAACACAAAACGTATTGTAGTATATTCTGATGCAAGGGTTGAAACTCACAAGGTGGGAATCATTATGACACCATTGAATAGATATATCCACCACTCAAGGCTGGGAAAAGGACAATAAAAAGTCACTGACTTGGAAAGATCTTCTGTACCTATCTGATTTCTTTCTTGCTTGCAACTGATTATGTGCCATCAAGAAGGTGTCGACTCTAAGTGACTACATAGATAAAAGAAACTTATGTAGCCTTGTCATTCCTGTGAATCTTCTGCTATAAGTAAGTTCTTCAATATGGGCTTGGGTATCTGGAATGTTGAGATTTACTGCTGGGCTTGGTATAAAGTCTGACTAAGCCTAAGAAAAATGACAGAATTTGAAAAGCTCATATAGACACCTATTAGGGCATATATATAAACTGTTACTTAGATATGACACGGAAACAGAACAAATAAAAAAAAAAGTATGATAAAATGGATTCCAAAACTTCAAAGAAACAATCACAACACGACAATGGGAAGAACTATGGAACAAATCTATAAAATTTACCCCAAGTTATAACTTAAGAGAAAAATGGTATAAAATGCTTAAAGATGGGATACAACTCCGTCAATAATTGCCAAGGTAGACAAATCCTGTAGTAATAAATGCTGGAAATGCAATGAGACAGAAGGAATATTTTATCATATGTGGTAGACATGTAAAAAACCTCAAAAGTACTAGAAAGAAATACACAGCACCATTCAGAGAATTTAAGAAATCATAGAAGGAATATTTTATCATATGTGGTAGACATGTAAAAAACCTCAAAAGTACTAGAAAGAAATACACAGCACCATTCAGAGAATTTAAGAAATCATAGAAGGAATATTTTATCATATGTGGTAGACATGTAAAAAACCTCAAAAGTACTAGAAAGAAATACACAGCACCATTCAGAGAATTTAAGAAATCATATCTGAAATGAAACAATTTTTTTTAACTAGGCATAATTTCAAGATATATCAACAAAAAAATCACAATTTATTAAGATATTACATGTTTATTGAGTTACATGTTCACGTCCGTGAGGATAAACTTAGCACAACACTGGAAAAGTGATAGATTACTGTGATATCAGACTGGGAACTTAAACTTGGAGAATATACTGTAACAGCAAAATTAACAGCATATATTCATAATAGAAGCTTGACCAAATTTAAGCAAGAATGGCTTCCATACATGTTACATATCACGCAACAAGGCAAATTTAGAGCATTTTTTAAAGGGGAGAAAGAATTGACCAAAGAACTGAAATCAGAAATACATGAAAATGTTAAATGTTTATAAATATTATATATCAGTCAGAGTACAACAAAGGGGAAGTTAGAAACTAAATATTCACCTATAATGTTTTAGTAGTTCTTCTCTTTTTTTTTATGGTATCTTTAAATAACAAAATAGTGGAGACTTGGCACTCAGCTCAGAGATTCAAAAAGATCTCTACAATCTCTTTCCTTGTTGTTAAAAATAACTGAATGTGTTCTGTTTTTTATGTTTAATTTTTCATCTACCTGTATATCTCTTGGCAATTTCATTTGGCTAAACAGTTATGATGATAAAGACTCCATCCATGATGTGCAATCATTACATCCCACATCAAGCAAGCATGTCAGTTTAGAGTCTGTTTCAACTGGACATGGGACTTTTCATGAAAAAATGTATGCTAGACTTTATTTATACTGATGTTGAAAATGTACTTGGAATTGTGTCTCAGCAGCTTTCTAAGGTGCAACTAATGGCTCAGTTCCTCTGAAGCAATATAACTCTACAATGGCTTAAGTATAATAAAAATACTACTAATAGCATATATCTTGGGTTTTTTCCTGTTAATTATTGCTTGGCTCATCATTATTGGTAATACTTTAATTTTAATTATAATCCATGCTTATGTGTTTTTTCCCCCAATACTGTGGACAATACAGCTAATAACTGATAAGAAAATACAGATAACCCTAGACAATATGACCCCTTACACTTTCTGTCTTCCATGTTTCTTCAATCATTAAATAGGATTATGCTTAATTTTCTCAGCAGTTTTTTTTGTGGGGGGTGGTGGTAATATGCTGATAGCTTTGCATGTAATGTGCTATGTCTGCTGTCAGATAGAGACTGCATATAAGGCATGTCAAACAGTTTTGCTAGCAAATGTTTACTCCAAGTGGCTTTCATTTCCTTCTGAAATTTCAAAATGATTTATTTGAATTGGTCCCTTACTGTACCCTTGCAGTCATTTGGCAGCAAAATGTTAGATACTTATTTTGATGGGACAGTTTTATTAGATTAAAAATGTCACCAGATGCAAATCAAAATGTTTTGCAGTGCTATTTTAATAATGCAGTAGCTAGCTTGATAAATATCCCAGACTGTTTACACTTGTATTGCTGAATTTTATTTATATTTCAAATTTAGTCACTGCCCATCTCACTCAAAAGCGACTCTGGAATTTTACTTTCTATCAACACAAGAAATCTACAGGTAGTCCTTGTTGAGTGACCACAATTGGGACTGGCAACTGGGTTGTTAAGCGAAGCAGTCACTAAGTGAAAATCACATAACCGCAACTGTGCTTACAGTTTTACTTCAGTTTTTCTTTGCTTCTTGCTACTTCCTTCAGCTGAACTGGGGTTCTTTCTCTTTGTCTTTGAGTATATCTTAGTATGGGGTAAATAAGCAAGTGAAAATAAGAGTAGAGGGATGGTGCAAAGGTCGTAAGTATGAGGATTGATTGCTGTTCTTTTAGCACCGTTGTAATTTTGACGGTCACTAAACGAGGCAGTCACAAAGTAAGGACTACCCGTATTATCCTGTTCAGTTGCTAAAAAATTGTAGATGGTCTGCTTAATCTTTCATGAAAAACCTTCCTCTGCTGAAATGCATATGAAATGCCATTAAATGTCTATGTATCTGTTCCCATTTTTTTTTATTATCCTGGATTAAAATGAGAAGATAGAGATAAACATTGAGATGTTACATTCCAGACCTGCTACATCATGGATATTCTGTGCTTTCTGAAGACAGTTGTATGATTTCCTCAATACTCACCCACTATTAATCCTAGAGATGCCTAAACAAAGCATTACATGTATTTTAGCTATTCATTTTAATTATGAACAAAGCATTGCATGTACAAAAATGTTCTAAGATGCTATACAAAACTACAGAAACACACCTTTCCTATGGCTCATGAGACACATTGGATAAGGACACTACACTGTGGTGCATTGGTCACATGGCATATTCTGCATCCATTAATTCTGTCTTCTGGAAATTGTCTCCTGGGCCATCCTGGTAGGTTCAGCTAATTGTTGAAGATGTAGTCTCAAAAGGCAGCATTGGTCCAAATGCTATGGTTATGAGTAATAGTGGCTCCCTTTGGGATAACTGTTATTTTGCATACTAATTTTATTCTGGAGGACTTAATAGTTTTAGTAGATGCTTATATTCCCCTGAATTATACACCAGCCACTTGGAAATGAACAGGAAAGATATTATAAACTTTAATGGTGGTGGTGATGATGACGATGAAGATCTTTTAAAGCTTGAAGGACACCATTCCCTCCATATATGCACATAAAATTATTAATTTTAATGAAATGTAAGTGAAATCAAATTAAATTTAGTTTTTGTCCTAGTCATAGCCATTGCTTTTTAGAATGCAAACCACAATATGTAATTGAAAACCAAATGCAGCCCTCAGCCTAGGAAAGGTGGCACACATTTGCATTAAGTGCTTATTTTTATTGTGTGGTGGAATCCTCATAACACGCCTATGATGAGATACAGGAGATCTAATCTGCCTATAGTTTTAATAATTTCATTGCTTTTCTTTGATATGAGGGAATGGGAGAAACCATTTCAGCAGACTGCCAACCTAATGGTATTTAATATTTCCTAATTTATTAACTTTTGCATTTATATCTCATCTTTTGACATTAAAATATATATAAAAAATGAAAGACCCACAATAAAAATAAGATATCCCACAACATATAATATATGAAACATCTTTGCCAACTCTAGAAACAAATGAAAGCATGAAACCAGCACAAAGCAAATTATACCTATTTTCATCCCCTATTTCCTCTTCTAGGTTGCTTAGTGACAAATAGACTCCCTTCAGTCAGACCAGTATTAATTTAGTACATTTCCTGCCCGCTTATATTATACATCAATCCATTATAAATATTTAACCATTATAGCTTTTTCTTACACATCTGTGTTCTAAAGCTATTTATATAAAGTAGCTTTCTTTGACTCCAGATGTAATGCATAGAGGAAGGTGGATGGCTTGCCCATAGACACTTGATCCTCATGATAGTCTGTTTTATCTGCTTCGTAGTGTTACGTAGGGAGACCAGCACGGAACGGAATGCGCTATTTGTGTACACTGCAAAAAGGAGAGATGGGTTCAATGTATCTTATGAGAAATATTTTAGTTTCATAAAGGACCACCAAATGCTACAAATAGTAAGTTCCTTTAAATCCCCAAAACTGATTTGGTACTTGGATCTTAAGCCATATTTCTAATAAATTGCTTTGGGTTGCTAGCCTTTAGCTGTTCTCTGTATTAGGAATATCCCCTGTAGTAATATTATAAAGCACTATCTCATAAGTGATAGTGTGAAACATTCAATGTCCCGCATAATAGGGGTTAATGGCTCAAATAAGCATGCAGACATTTTACTGGAGAAACAAATAATGTAAAACTCTCTATACTCTATACAAGAGTATAGAGGAATAATTATTGCTGCACAAATGGAATTAGCTTTATTAAGTTTTCACTTGATTATTATCATTGTAATTGAATGACTCAATAGGCAAATCCAACTTAAACTTGAGGAGACACTGAAAAAATATAGTATTTTACAATATTTCAAAACAAAGTATGAAGTGTTAGGCAACTTGCCAAGTTGTGGTACCATCCCAGAAGAAATAGCAAAGAAGTATAATGGTGTGGTCCACTTTTCTTTCCTTACAAATATAATATAAATTCCTCCATATCCATGCTTAGAGTTACTTAACAAGCTTTACAAGATTGTATCTTATAATTGCATAATCATTTTCACTTTTGAACTTCTCATCTGTATTACAACTTGTAAAGTTGAAAGAACAATGTGTACTCCCTAATCCAACACCTGCAGAGAAAATGAGCAGTGGCATGCTAAAAATGATGTGTCACTTAGGATAACTTTGGCAATCAACTGTCTAAACTATAACCAAGCCATTGATAAGTTGTGTCATAGAACCACCTCCAGATGTTGTGCTATTTATGCCCCCTGTCATTTGAAAGAGTATAAAAAGTAGCAAGAGACCTGACATTTTGAATCTTGGCATAGACTGCAGGCTCAGGAAAGTGTTATGCAGCAGTCAGCCAACTTACTATCATTTGGGAGGTTCCTGACAAGCTGAAGGACATAGTCTGCCATACATTTTTTCTGTAACTCTATTAATTTATATTCAATACAATCTCTTTGGCATTCACCCTGGCATGAGGCTAGTGTCTCTGAATCCTAGAAACTATTGACTACTGACTGGCTACCGGTGCCAACACACAGGTCTTTCTTCTTTTCCATTTTTCTGTGTAGGAATCTAAAAGAGTTATTAATAAGCTTTAATTATGCTGTAAGGACACATTATTATTTAAATGTGTGTATGTCTATATTAATAATCAAAATAATTTGTTATAAATAGTTTTGAAACAATACAAATATGTAAATATAGGTAAGAAATTTATAAAATTTCTATGTCTCAATGTCAAACGTCGTTGTACATTTCCTTGTAGATAAACGTCTGTTTTGTCCATTTAAATAAATGGAACATCCCAAGCATGTAATCACTCAAGCTTCTGTTAAGCATCCCTTGACATAAGGTCCTCAAGATTAACTGCTAGGTAGAACTCAACACAAACTACAGCTATTCTAATTTGTAGAAGGTATTTGTGTGTTCTTATGTGTTGTGTGTGTATGTGTGTGTATATATGTATTTGTAGAAGGTAGGTTTGTACTTATGTATGTGTGTGTGTACATACATACACATACATACATACATATATACAGTATGTGTGTGTATGTTACAACATAACATACTGATGATATTCATTTGAAGGTTACAATTACATGTATAGGTAAGTACTTGTTAATTGAATATATAATATTCAAGTCATCTATAGCATATAAGGAGGGGCATATTTTAATAAATTAGGCAGCACAATTTAAGCAGGGAAATGTTTTAATTAAAGTAATATAAAACCCTTTGACAGCTTAGTGTCAGTATTAATAAACGTTTATTTATTAAGTAGTCTATACTGTCAATCAGTTTGACATGCCTGTTTTTTACAGTCTACCTGTAAATGAAAAGTGAAATATGTATGTAAGTGTTCTAAATTACAGAACAGAATTCTGCACCCTACTGATCTATTCCATTATACAAAAAACTCCTGCACAGAATCTATTTTTGACCTATTATATGAAAAAGAAATTAAAAGGGAAAAATTCTTATAGCTTAACTTTTAGTATAACTGATTGATTCACCAGTTACTTCTTTTCATACTACACCAACATGTATTTCATTGTCTACTTTAACTCGTGTCTATTTACACAGCAAAAAACCAAAATTATATCAACGGCTAGTGCCTACGTACTGCAAATAGTTGAAGAAGTAGTAGAAGTAGTACCAGACTATATCTTCAATCATCTTCAACATTCCTTTTATTCTTTCCTTTTTAAAAAGACATAGTCATAGCTGTTCCTCATAAAACAAATATTGTTTGTTAATCTGTGGTCTTGAAAAATTGAAGAAACCATGAGGTAGATGATTGGTCATAAAGGACAAATTGATTTTTAAGTGTATAAATATGGCCTATTTCTCAGGCAGGTTTCAGGTGACCTTGAACAATTTCAGAAGCCCAAGCAGGGTTGGCCCTGTTTAATAACTGGATTGAGACTGCTTGGAATTCCAGGTCCGTGAACCAAACAGGGAAGCTTTTTTAAAAAGCCTGGTGGAAGAAGGGAGTGAGAAACCACTTCTCTAATACTGCATGGGTGTGGTCACCAGCCATTGAGTTCAACCTGAGCACATATTTATCTTTTGATTCATCAGATATGGGATCTTTGGAAACTATGACTGCCCTATCTATCTATGCATGGTTTCAATCTGACTGGAGTTTCATGAAATCTCCCAATGATTGACTTTCTAGACTTGTAAAAGAAAAATACATTACCAGAAATAACCAAGAAGACAATACCATCATCAAATTAACTGAGTACTAAATACCCATGGAAAAAAATTACTACTCAGTCCAATCAAGATTAAGACAAAACCTTTCAGAAAAAAAAAACCCTAAAAAAAACCTGCTGCAAAGCACCGGTCCAGACTTCCTCCTCTTTTGGTAAGATATTAAATATTCAAGCATATAGCTTTCTAACCATATTCTCCCTTTTTCATTCTCCCAGAATTCCTGTGCTGTTTTTTTTTTTAAATCCTCCATCCTATTCTACTGAGATTTTCATTTCTCTTTTCCAAGTGTTTGTGCTCCTACCTGATATCCAGCTTGTATACTAGGATTATTGCCTCTTCTCATGCAAAAACAGAAATCCTATTTTTGTTTTTCTCTAACTTTCTCCATATCTTTATTATTCAAGCTGAAGCCATATTGCACAAGTCACCACCAAACTTCCCTTTGATTCTTTTCTTTATCATAGTTAAAAGTGTAACTGTGATTTAGTCTATTACTTCAATAACATCTTTGGAAATGTTTTACTTTTTTCCATTACTGGGTATTATACAAGGGAACTCCTTTATACACCCTTAACCATCACCGTTATTTACGTATACTTTTTTTGCGGGGGGGGGGGACTTTTGAGTCAGTGTTGACTCCTGGCGACTGCTTGGACTAGTCCCTGTACTGTAGCTTTCTTGGCAAGATTTTTGGAAGTGACTTGCCACTGTCTAGGGCTGAGAAAGAATGACTTGCACAAGGTCACCCAGATGGCCTTGTGCTTAAGACAGGACTAAGACTCACAGTCTCCCAGTTTCTAGCCCAGTGCCTTAACCACTACACCAAACTGGCTTTCAGATATACTTGGTTAATATGTGTTTTGTTTGGAATAGAGCCAAGATCGTATTGGAAAAGCTTTTCCCTATCACAGCATTCAAGCTAAACTTCCACAAGCATTCAAGCTTCAGAAAGGTTTATTTTTGGAAGTGTCATTTACAGACATATTTGGAGAAATATGTCCTGTGTTAATATGTGAACATAAAAATATGAACTTGCTGTCTCATGTTTCATGTCTTTTTTCCAGCCATTGACCTATTCTTTCTCTGGATTATCATTACTTTGTTTTTAAAAAAGGCTAATTTTCTGCATTTCTTCCCATCCATTAACTTTATCGATTTGTTTAAAGTACATCCCAGAGAGTTTGATGGGGCTCATTCCCTATTTAGTACATACACAGTATTATAATTTGTTATTTCTATTTCATTATCTTACAAATAACAATATCAACAGGTCCCTATGCACTGTGGCTTATAATTGAAAGAAGCAGGCAAATGAAAATACCACATACAGGGGAGGAAAATAAAAGATGGTTAAAAGAGGAAGGGTGATGTAAAATAAAAAGAGTTTTGAGAACACAATTGAGATAAATGGATATGGAAATGCAAAGGTATTTTGAGAAGTGATCAGATCCATAAGGGCACAAAAAAAAATAGCAATCATTTCATATAATTTCATTTTTAGTTAAGTGGGGTAGTGAGGCTAGGCAAAGAAAGTTCATAAGAAGTGGAGAGGTATAAAAGAGTAGACAGATAAGGTTGGGGAAGGTCAAGACCATGGATGGTTTTAAAGGGAAAGGCAAAAACCTTATACAGGTTAGAGGAGTAGAAGGAATTCTGTATATTCCTGTAGAAGGAATATTTGGGGTTTTAAAATATTGTCTGGGTTTTAAAAATCAAACATGGTTGGGTTTAATTAGTTCTTGGATGGGAGAATAACAAGGAATAGTAAGGGCTTTTCTTCACTACAGCCTTCAGTTTGTCTCCTGTGCATGAACAAACTGGAAAAGAAGCCAGCTTAAGGAACCTTTTTCCAGATTTCAACTCACTCCTCTACTCTGGCCATGGTGATTAGCCAGGTGTTCTGTTGGAAATGCAGTCAACCTGGACTCTGATTAGTGGATTCCTGTCTTTTTTCCCCTCCTTCACCCATAATACGAAAACAAGCAAAACAAGCAAAAATGCTTTCTCTTCAGTGGACATATCTTCAGACAACTGGTGAAAATAAGTTTTACATTTCTTCCTTTCATTCTAGCTAGAAGGTGAAACTTGGCAGAAGCCTTGCCAATTTTTCCCAGTTGAACAACGAAGAAAGAAAGAAATGGGCCTGGAGTTGGGGACAAAGTGAAAAAATTCAGATGGAGGTTATCTTTCTAGCGGGTTGAGTAGGTTGAGGACAATGTCATCAGATTTGGCCTTCCAAAGTGGTAGGTGGCCCATTCTTGTACTGGGGCAAGCAAGAAGTGTGGATCACGAGCCCTAAGGCTGTAAACTATATTCGAAAGTACAATACACCCTGGAAGAAAGCCTTCCAAAACTGCATAGATATGTGCATGAAGTTCTCAGGATCTGAGCTCAATTTCATTTTTACATGAATCATGAATTAGTGGTAGAGCTGAAAAAAAGTTCAGAACAAAGTAATTATTTTGTTCTGTGTGATGAACACTCCTAATTATTTTTATTGTTTACATAATTTACTTATTATGGAATCGACTGTTAATTTTAAAACACTGGATTATATAGGAAGTATTGGAATTAATAGCAGTTCCTATATGATTTATAATAATAAATTATATTGGAAGTAAATTGAAGTTAACCTTATATAAAATGAAAAAAATAAAAGTATATGCTGTTTGCATAGAAAATGTAAGATATTTTTATACAGGACCAATATTTGAAAGATAGTCTTATTTTAAAATTATATCTCTAAATGATCATATGTACGTGGATGAAGAGCTTATCTGCTGCATAAATGTATTTATTTATTGCAAAGATTTCTGAATTGCCAATTGTAAGAAATGGTTGCGCTGATGCATGTTCTTTGTAATCTGAATTGATAGACAAATGTCAATAATGTATTTTTCTTTTCTTGAAATATTAAGAAATATTAAAATTTAAATAGGCTTTTTGGAACAAAGATAACACAGGAAGTGAAGAGTCCTCTTGGGTCATATTCTAAAATAATAGAACATTTCAACAAAACTAAACTACTAGACATGTGATTAGTTGCTAATGAACTTAGAAATGCTAAGATATACATCAAATTGTATCCGCTAAAATGTACTCTTTGTCTCCCATTTCTCCAATTTGTAATGAAGTCCAAGTCTGCAGGCAAGATGACAGTTCCCTCAATGAGCTTCAGCTATCCTATGTTTTAAGAAAGAATGAAACAAAGTTATATTGACTCCCCATTTCTCCAAGTCTAATGCTTGGTTTCCCCCCCCTATATTTTTATATATAACATTTTCAGCACGAACAGAAGAAGCAAGAGCAAAATAATGTATAGAGAGTAAGAACAAGTCACATCCAGAGAGAAGCTCCTGTAGATTTGGGTCAACTTACTTTAAGCAAAACAATTGTGTATCATCTTGTCTATATGTTAGGAATTCATGCTTGATAGGCTGGAACAGTCCACTGAAATATTTGAAGGGCCAGAAAAACCGACTTCATAAACAAGGTTTATAATTAAATAATAAAAAATTATTATTATTTATTAATATTAAAATAATAATAATAATAACAACAACAACAACAACAAAGTTACAGAGCCATGAGATCATAACTTTACCACATGGACCACACTGCAGGCAGTGAAGCATATTCTGAGTCTGAACTTCAAATTCTTAAATATTGCCCACTCAGCACATTATGGGATAAAAATCAGGGTCATAATGCCCTCTTGGAAAGACCAGATGAAGTTTAGTTAAAACTGAAAATCTTTCTTGTAGGATATAGTCATGTTTTGTTTAGATAAGTGTTTATGCTTAGTGCTACAGAAGCGACTCAAGAAAAGGAATATAGGTTATCTTCTCACAAAACATTTGTTAAATCTTGATTATTCAATTAAACCAATATTCTGGGTTTGCATGACACAAAGTCTAAATGCAACACACTACACTCGGTGCAGTTTGGGGTTCAGCATATCGACAGAGCCCCGCTGGCAGGAAACGAATGGCTCAGCTCAGCTTTGTCATTCCCAGCACCGCCAGTATGAACGCTCCCTCTTTTTAAATTATGCAACCTGTGTGGAATTTCGACCCGGCATACTTTTGCACCCAAGGCAGTGTTGTCTGGTACTGGAAGTTAAAGGCAGCCGGGTAAACTCCAAGCCGAAGGCGGCAACAACAATGAAGACTCAGACCTTACGCGTTGTTTTCTTGGAAAAGCTCTCAGTGCTCGGAGAGAAACATTTCCCTTCGCTGCGTTATATCACGCCCTGACTTCACTTGGGAGTATCAAACTTTGCAGATGAAAGAGCACAACAAAGGGGGCGGGGGGGGCGACAGAACCTGTTGCCGGGATCGCTCCGGGCGACCGAACGCCACGCGCCTGCGGGAGGCTTCGTGGCTTTGCGGCGCGGGCAACGAGCGTCCGTGCGGGCTGCCCGTGCCCGGGGAAATCTGCGTGTGCTCCTCTCCTCCCCGCACGCCCAAGGGCAGCGGGAGGCGAGACACGTTGCGCGGCTTTCGGGGCGTGTGCCTGCGCCTCCTGCTAACCGCTGCCCGGTG